GCTTATTTTACCTGAAAAATAAGCACATCAGCTTATTTTACTTGAATAATAAGCACCCACTTTAATTTACCTGAAGAATAAACACCCAGCTCAATTTACCTGAAGAATAAGCATCCAGCTTAATTTACCTGAATAAGCACCCAGCTTAATTTACCTGAAGAATAAGCACATCAGCTTATTTTACCTGAAGAATAAGCACCCAGCTTAATTTACCTGAAGAATAAGCACCCAGCTTATATCACCTGAAGATTAAGCACCCAGCTTATAGCTTATTTTACCTGAAGAATAAGCACCCAGCTTATAGCTTATTTTACCTGAAGAATAAGCACCCAGCTTAATTTACCTGAATAAGCACCCAGCTTAATTTACAGAAGAATAAGCACCCAGCTTATTTCACCTGAAGATTAAGCACCCAGCTTATTTCACTTGAAGATTAAGCACCCAGCTTATTTCACCTGAAGATTAAACACCCAGCTTATTTCACCTGAAGATTAAACACCCAGCTTATTTCACCTGAAGATTAAGCACCCAGCTTATTTCACCCGAAGATTAAGCACCCAGCTTATTTCACCTGAAGATTAAACACCCAGCTTATTTCACCCGAAGATTAAGTACCCAGCTTATTTCACCCGAAGATTAAGTACCCAGCTTATTTCACCTGAAGATTAAGCACCCAGCTTATAGCTTATTTTACCTGAAGAATAAGCACCCAGCTTAATTTACCTGAATAAGCACCCAGCTTAATTTACCTGAAGAATAAGCACCCAGCTTAATTTACCTGAAGAATAAGCACCCAGCTTAATTTACCTGAAGAATAAGCACCCAGCTTATTTTACCTGAAGAAAGCATCCCAGCTTATTTTACCTGAAGAAAGCATCCCAGCTTATTTTACCTGAAGAAAGTATCCCAGCTTATTTTACATGAAGAATAAGCACCCCAGCTTATTTTACATGAATAAGAACCCCAGCTTACTTTACCTGAAGAATAAACCACCCCAGCTTATTTTACCTGAAAAATAAGCACATCAGCTTATTTTACTTGAATAATAAGCACCCAGTTTAATTTACCTGAAGAATAAACACCCAGCTAAGCACCCAGCTTAAATTACTGAATATTTTAGCTTAATTTACGAAGAATAACCCATCAGCTTATTTTACCTGAAGAATAAGCACCCAGCAATTTACCTGAAGAATAAGCGCAACATATCACCTGAAAATTAAGCACCCAACATAACTTATTTTACCTGAAGAATAAACGCAGCTTAATTACCTGAATAAGCGCAGCTTAATTTACCTGAAGATTAAGCACCCAGCTTATTCACCTGAAGATTAGACACCCCGCCTTATTTCACCTGAATATTAGACACCCCACCTTATTTCGCCTGAAGATTAGATACCCCACCTTATTTCACCTGAAGATTAAACACCCCGCCTTATTTCACCTGAGGTCTGGCTTAACCTTATTTCGCGAATTAAGCACCCAGCTTATTTCACTGAAGATTAAGCGCAGCTTATTTCACCTGAAAGATTAACACAACTTATTTCACCCGAAGATTAAGTACCCAGCTTATTTCACCCGAAGATTAAGTACCCAGCTTATTTCACCTGAAGATTAACGCAACATAACCTTTTACAGAATAAGCACCCAGCAATTTACCTGAATAAGCGCAGCTTAATTACCTGAAGAGCCAGCACCAACCTTTCACCCGAAGATAAGCACCCAGCTTATTTCACCCTGAAGATTAAACACCCAGCTTATTTCACCCGAAGATTAAGTGCAGCTTATTTCACCCGGGGTTTGGCACCCAGCTTATTTCACCCGAAGTTTAAGCACAGCTTATTTCACCCGAAGTTTAAGCACCCAGCTTATTTCACCCGAAGTTTAAGCACCCAGCTTATTTCACCCGAAGTTTAAGCACCCAGCTTATTTCACCCGAAGTTTAAGCACCCAGCTTATTTCACCCGAAGTTTAAGCACCCAGCTTATTTCACCCGAAGTTTAAGCACCCAGCTTATTTCACCCGAAGTTTAAGCACCCAGCTTATTTCACCCGAAGTTTAAGTACCCAGCTTATTTCACCCGAAGTTTAAGTACCCAGCCACCAACCGAAACTGGGATATTAATTACCTGGGTTCTAGATCGTTTGCGAGGAAACGTTCTTGAAGAAAGTGTCTAAGAATAATTGTCTAAAGTCTAAACTATTGTTTATAAAGATAAAATTCCCGATATTCGGTTGATGGCAACAAACACATTGCAATAATACTTTTTTAGTAGTTTTCTGATTTTCAACTCCCGATATAGTGTTAGCATGTATAAATAAACTGAAAATATATTTTCGTTCTGTTTTAGTGACGAAACAGGCCACTGTTCATTTGCACCGGATGTTCCACAAATGGGCATTGACCAGAGGTTGATAGATGCCCACTGCGCCTCGAGGCTCGCCTTAACTTCACAGTATGTCGATAAAGAGGATGAATTTTAGGCACGGGTAGTGTTCGCCCAACAACCATGGCCGTATCCATGGGTGCAGCCGAAACAGCACAAGGTAATGTGGAGGTATGTTATGTTTGTTCTTTCTCCTCCATCCTGTGAGTGTCACTCCGGGGGTCACCATTTGTGGGGTATGTTATGTTTGGTTCACACTCAGGATGGATGGAGAAAGGAAACTCACAATGTGCTCTCTGTATACATGTTGTATTGGATGTACAGTGCAGCTTGGTGCTGGGAAGGCAGCATGGTTACAAGCGTGATGTAGAGAGAGCTGGTTGGTGAGGATGCTCAGAGGAGGACAGCTTGTGGGTGGCCATGCTCGCCGGCGGGAGCGAGGACCGCCAGGCAGGCGGAGGAGGAGGAGGTGTTGCTGGCTGGTTGGTGTAGGTAGAAAGAGAGGGATCACCACGAGGTCAGGTCTTAAATAGCGGGGGTTGGCGTGGCTTAGTAGTTGACCCCCGCTCCGTGGGCGGCGCTGGTTGACCTAGACCACAAGGCATACACTGGGGAATTCGCGGGGTCGGCTACGCAGCGACAAACAGCGTTTGTAGGGGAGAAATCCACTACAATACTCCCTCCTTCCCTCCAGGCGGTGTAGGAGACTTGTTGTTTGCAGGGTTGCATAGCACATGTGAGGCAGAACGGGCGGTGCATGCCACATGTGAGACAACGGCGATGGCATGGATGAGCCGGCCGCTAGAGACAACTGTCTAGATACACAATATCTGTGGGAGAAGAGAGGGAGAAAAAGGGTGTGTGGAGGCGATGAATGTTGTGCTTCCCTCAAGGCAGGTACAGAGTCGTCAGATGCGCCTGCTGGGGTGTGTGGGCCTGGGTCAGGAGCAGGGGCTGCGTCAGCAGAAGCGGATGAGGGCTCGTGACAGCAGCTGGGTCCACGACAGCAGCAGGGTGCAGGACATTAGCAGGGAGTACCTGAGGGAGAAAAGAGTGGTGTGTGGGTCCACATTCAGGAGCAGGGGCCGCGTCAGGAGAAGCGGCAGGGGGTACTGCTGGGCCGGGGCGGCGTCTGAGGCAGGACAGGTGTGTTGGGGTCGGTAGGATGTGGTGCTTGGGGCAGGAATAGGAGTGGCTGTCTGCTTTGAGTAGCAGAGCTGCTCTAGGGTGTCTAACCTGCGGTTTAGAGACAGTAGTTGTAGAGCCGATGAGAGCTGCTTCTGGGTGGATAAGCCAGTCTTACATTTTGCTTGAAGACTGGGAGAGTGATCAGTTTCTCCTCCATCCTGTGTGAGTGCGAATCTCCGGGGTTCACCATTTGTGGGGTACGGGTTGTTTGTTCTCTCTCAGGATGGGATGAAGAAAGGAAACTCGCAATGTGCTCTCTGTATACATGTTGTATTGGATGTACAATGCACCTTGGTGCTGGGAAGGCAGCATGGTTACAAGCGTGATGTAGAGAGAGCTGATTGGTGAGGATGCTCAGCTTGTGGGTCGCCATGCTCGCCGGCGGGAGCAAGGACCGCCAGGCAGGTGGAGGAGGAGGTGTTGCTGGCTGGTTGGTGGAGGTAGCGTAGTGGATTTCTCCCCTACAAATGCCGTTTGTCGCTGAGTAGCCGATCCCGCGAATTCCCCAGTGTATGCCTCGTGGTCTAGGTCAACCAGCGCCCCCTTACATGACGGAGGTCAACTACTAAGCCACACCTACCTCCGCTATTTAAGACCTGACCTCGTGGTGACCACCCTCTTTTCTACCTACACCAACCAGCCAGCAACACCTCCTCCTCCGCCGCTGCCTGGCGGCCCTCGCTCCCGCCGGAGAGCATGGCGACCCACAAGCTGTCCTCCTCTGAGCGCCCTCACCAACCAGCTCTCTCTACATCACGCTTGTAACCACGCCTGCTAGCACTAAGCCCATCCTGAGAACAATCCCATACCCCACAGTGAAAGAGAAGCTCACCACGAGGTCAGGTGATGGCGGGAGGCGTGTAGTAGTTGACCTCCGTGATGTATGGCGGCGCTGGTTGATCCAGACCACGAGGCACAAACTGTGGAATTCGCGGGGTCGGCTACTCAGCGACAAACAGCGTTTGCAGGGGAGAAAACCACTACAATATCTGTGGAAGTTATGTTCGCTACACGTTCACAGACGTAAATAGTATGACCCTCAAACCATGATCCACACTTAGTCCTACAGTACACTACCCGCTCAACTGGACTTTAACATTCATCGAATTTGTTGTTCTCTGGAGGGTTGGAAATAGTCCGTGATACTTGTGTGGCGACTTCCGTGGGCAAGGAGGAGAGCAGGGCGCCGATTTTTGCTCGTCAGTAGCTTGTGAGCCGATGAGGATTGCTTCCACATGATCTAACCTGTCCTCGACGTTGTGGTTGAAAGTCAGAGAGATCCGTCCGTCCATTCTTGCAGAAGTGTATCACACGGTCGGAGATGGTGATGTAATGGGTAGCACGGCGTGGTGTCATCGTGTCGTAGTGGGGTAGCACGGTGCCGGTGGTGTCGTCGTGTCGTGGTGGGGTAGCACGTGGTGCGGTGGTGTCATCGGTCAAAGTACCGGTGCGGGTGGTGTCGTCGTGGTCGTAGTGGGGTAGCACGTGGTGCGGGTGGTGCCGTCGTGTCGTAGTGGGGGTGCGCGTGGTGGGGGTGCCGCGCAGGGTAGCACGCAGCGGTGGTGCCGTCGCGGTCGTAGTGGGGTAGCACGTGGTGCGGGTGGTGCCGCCGTGGTCGAGGCAGCACGGCGCGGTGGTGCCGCCGGGTCGTGAGTGGGGGCAGCACGTGGTGCGGGTGGTGTCGCCGTGTCAGTGGGGTAGCACGCAGGCAGGTGTCAGGTCGAGGTGGGGTAGCACGTGGTGCGGGTGGTTCGTGTCGAGTGGGGTAGCACGCTGCGGGTGGTGCCACGGTCGAGGGGTAGCACGGGTGCGGTGGTGCCGTCGTGAGTGTAGCACGGTGCGGTGGTGCCGTGGTCAGGGCAGCACGCAGCGGTGGTGTCGCCGTGGTCGTAGTGCAGTGCACGGTGCGGTGGTGTCGCTGCATCGTAGTGGGGCAGCACGGTGCGGTGGTGTCGCCGGTCGAGGGGTAGCACGGTGCGGTGGTGGCCGCCGTGTCGTAGTGGGAAGTACTGGGTGCGGTTGTGTCGCCGTGCGGGGGATCGTCGAGGCAGAGCAGCGGTGGTGTCGCCGTGTCAGAGGGGTAGCACGGCGGTGGTGCCGGTGGTGCACGTGGGTGGGGCACGGGCGCGGCAGTGCCGTCGTGTCGTGAAGCGGTAGCACGTGTGCTGGTGGGTGTCATCGGAGGAGGGGGTAGCACGGTGCGGTGGTGTCCGTGTCGTAGTGCGGCAGCACGGTGCGGTGTGCCGTCGGTCGTGAGGCGCGGGTGCGTCGGTCGAGCGGTGCCGCCGGTCGAGTGCGTGGTGGCCGCTGTGGTCATAGTGGCAGCTGTGGTGCCGGTGGTGTCGTGCGGTCGAAGTGGGGCAGCACGGTGCGGTGGTGTCACGTGTCAGTGCGGTAGTGCCAGGTCGTAGTGGGGTAGCATGTGGTGCGGGTGGTGTCGTCGTGTCGTAGTGGGGTAGCACGTGGTGCGGTTGGTGTCGTCGTGTCGTAGTGGGGTAGCACGTGGTGCGGGTGGTGTCGTCGTGTCGTAGTGGGGTAGCACGTGGTGTGGATGGTGTCATCGTGTCGTAGTGGGGTAGCACGTGGTGTGGATGGTGTCATCGTGGAGGAGTGGGGTAGCACGTGGTGCAGGTAAGGCGGTTGGCCTAGGCTGGCAGCAGGCAGGACGATCTTCTTAGCTCCAGGAGTCAGGCAGCAGAAAGGAGTGTAGTGTTCACGGCTCCAGGGGTCACCAATTGTAGTGTACTGTCGTGGCAGGTTGTCAGGGTCTCTTATTTGGCCTCACAACGTACGTACATGAAATATATCCAACACTCAGGATTGAGGTAGAAATAGAAAATCACAATGTGTTTCCCGTATATATATTGTTGCACAGCACAGTGTTAAAGAGATACTAAGTCGAGCGAAGCTTGCTCAGAGTTCCTGTAGGGCGAGGAGCTTTCTGAGGGAGCGTGTGTATGGAGCTGTTGGGAGATGTTGCTTGCTGGTGACGGTAAGTAGAAAGAGGTCGACGATGGCCAGGTGAGGTCTGATATAGCGGGTGTAGGCGTGGCTTGATGGTAGGCCCCAGCTTTGTTCAGCGTCGCTGGTTACCTGACCTTGACCACGAGGGATACGCCGGTAGATTCGAGAGGGGTCGGCCAGTCAGCGACACACGGCGTTTGTAGGGGAGGAATCCACTGCAACCTGACGCTCACCTGACTCTGTCCTCCCGCCTCCTCGCCGCGTCTGGGCGAGTTGCTGCTGCCTCCAACTTAAACCCTCTCACGCAAGCTGTGTTTAGCCACGGCACCTTTACCTCCTTCTAAAATTCACTTCAATCCTCCCTTTATCCTTCCCCCCTGTCACTAGCATTTATGTCATGTGCTGTAAGCTGACTGGCTGGTAAGCGAGCGGCAGGTGATCAGCAGGGGAGAGTATCCACTACATTATAATGTTTGTAAACTAGGTGTTTTGATTATTTTGTCCCAGGCATCAGTTATTTTGTCATCTCTGTGTGACGCAAACGTCTCTTTGTTTTGCTGTTTGCCAAACATGTTTGGAGGAAAGTTCCAATGTGCCGCCGCCAATAAGCCTTTGCTGTTAATAAAAGGAACAAAGGGGCGGGGCTGGCCAGTCAGTACGCTGGACGAGTCGCTGATGAGTGATTGCTAGTGTTTTGTTCAGTATCAGTGGCTCCAATCGCACTAAAACAATAATCTATACTATCTTTTATGCCATGTTGCGTTACATACTATAAGGAAACTCATGTATACCTTGGGTTCACTGTATAGCCTATATATTCCTTGTTCCTATATTAACACAGGCCAGTAAAGATCATAACAAAGTAACAAAAGTAACTCACCAGAAAAACCTGTAAGGTGATAAGTAGTGAAATGATGAAATAAAATAATAAGTTCACTGTTGGCCTTAACTTATGTGGGCGCCCAAGAGTAGTCAAACATTCCTTTAAAATAAATTTATAGTTAATTTGTATTATTAAATAGTGGCCGGAGGTTCTTTAAAATTTAAGAAGTACAAGTACAAGTACAATTTAATATATTATGCTAACTATTGGATAATTATAGTTCAATAAAATAATCTCCTCTGGGGTATAATTAATTAAAGGAAAATCAATTGATGATGAACGGCACCCGGATGTGTAAACAAGTCAGTGTTGCCAGCAGCCGAGTGACGCCTGGCAACACTGTTAACACCACAGGAAGGAGTCAGTCATTATAGGAGGAAGACTTCACTATGTTCACCTTACAGTGTGATATAAAGATAACTAAAAGTCTCCAGGTAAATTAGTTGTGTATTAAATGTTTCTGAGACTATAGAAGGAGTGTGTGCAAGTAAACCAGCGAATTTAGACATTTACAGTATATACAGGTATTGATAACTTGGGTAATATTCTGGGTATTAATTTACTTCAGTACACAGAGACCCCCTAAGTTAAAACTACTGAAACATTTACATCTCCCTACTCTGAGCATTTTGAACCCCATTTATAGTAGTCACAAATGGAAAATAGTGACACAATTTAATTTATTTGATTTTACGTACTTTTCAGTCTTTGTCTGAAGAGGTTATCTGCGTGGAACCGAGTTTATTATGGATCATGCATGTGTCAGTCATCCGCTCGTGATCAATGATGTATCGATATCATAACGCAATTTTTTTTCAATCAATCACATTTGAATTTTTTTGAAGGAAGCAGCTTGGGTATGGATTTGAATTTCAATGACCAGTCTGACAATGGCTGTGGTGGAGGTTAGGTGCGTTTCGTGCTGCTATAATTATTTTAAGTTTATTGCGGAGTTTTACGAGGAAGACGATCTTTCTCTCCACTTCTGACCAAGGTATTATACTTTCGGACATGGCGCGCCCAAAAGTTTTAAACTACTGAAACATTTAGGTTAGGTTAGATGACTGGTTTTCGTGTTCTCCCCCAACCAAAAACCCAGATTTCCCAGGCTCTCCCCCCTTATTGTTGGGGGGTCAGGGTGGGGCAAAAATGAGCGATTTCCGACAAAAATGAAGGTCAGATTCGCTTAAAACACACCAACATACACTGGAAAAACTTATTGGTCAACCCCAAGGGACTCATGTCCTAAAGTAAAAATTTACCATATTCTGGAACGGGGATTTAGCTTATCCAGGAACGTTAGAGAATTTGGTTAAACTTGGGGGTACAAATCAATGTCTGAAGGATAAGATTCGGTAAAGGACACCCATGGCAGGTAAATATTCGTTTAATGGCTGTGGCTCCTTTTTGCTATGATAATAAGTTCAAAAACCTATTCTCATAACAATTTCAACTTCCAAATCACTGTTGAAACCAAACCTAACCTAGGTTAATTTTCGTCCATTGGCTGTCAGGTTTCCAATTTTCAATATTACAGACACAAAGATTATTTAAAAATAATTTTTTTTTTACGGGAATTAGCCCACCCGGGCACGGGTCAAACGACCCACAACGGGGCCTGGGGGGGCGAAAAAAAAAGAACAAAGAAATTAAAAATAGAGAACTAAAAGGTTATATTGTGTTAATCTACACCACGAAGATGCCAGAAAACCATCTTTGTAAAGTGAGACAGATTGTATAAGTATGGAAACACAGAAGAAGGCAGATCATTCCACAGTTTGGTTGTGTGAGGAAAGAAGGAGGTACTATAACGGGTTATTCTCGTGTGACCGACATCCACAGAGAAACGGTGGGCACCGCGGGCAAGATGTGTGTTACGAGCCCATGGCCTTGCCGGCGGTACACAGGATGCCAAATCCACCGAACATTGCCCGATAAAGTACCTGTAAAAGAGAGAGTGCGAAGCAACATTGTGTTGAAGAGAAAGGGAAGAGAGATTGTCGACTAAAGGAGGAGAGTTAATAAGACGAAATGCCTTTGATTCCACCCTATCTAATAGTTGGACAGAAGAAGAGCCACCCTAGATATGAGAGCAGTACTTCAAGTGAGGACGAATGAATCCCTTATATACTTGAAACAACTGCTCAGGAGTGCAGTAGCTGCGGCATCTGTACAGCATTCCCAACTTTCGGGAGGCAGCTTTAGCTATACTAAGGATGTGTGATTTCCAGGACATATTGGAGGAAATGGTGAGGCCTAACATATTTATTTCAGAATTTGGCAGGATGATAGCATCCTGAAATGTAATTGGTGAGAGATCATCTAATTTACAAAGTGTAATTGGTAAATATTGAGTTTTATTACTATTGAACCTAACCAAGTTTGTACCTCCCCATTCAGAGATGCTGCACAGGTCCACATTGATAGAAGTAATGATATCAGTACTTTATAATAAGGTGTACATAAACTTTATTTGACAATGCTTCAACCAGTTTTTATTAATTTTCTTTGTACAATACAGTACATGAAAAGGTCTTTTTAATGGACATATCTTAGATGGATTTTCCTCCTATCAACATTACAGTGGTTACGTGGGAAACGAGAACTGTGTGACATTGTTGTCATGGGCAGTGATGGTCAGCAGACTGCAGCACACAGCTGTGTACTTGCTGCTCACTCTACAGTTATAGCTTCTGTTCTTCAAGGACGGTTGGCAGAACAGCGCGATTGGTCTGTCTTAAGGCCTCTTATTATTTCCATAGATGATGTACCCTTGAAGTCTTCCTCAACACAACAGGGTGAGTATTGCAGTAATCATATTGCTCTTATCAGTATTGTTTTCCTGTGATAAACCATTTCCAGGTACAGTATGTCCTAAAGCCAGACACCTTTTGTAATAGTGCTGGTCTTGTTTGGGTTGTCAAGATACTGTAGTTGATAAAACTCTTCTGTGTCACTGAGGCTAAATCTTTAACTGTGTTTAGATTACTTAGTCCTCCTTGTCACACCTTATGCCTCCAAATGAAGTAGGTCAGATGAAAAGGATGTTTCAGGAGGTAGGAGGCCCTCTAGAGCAGTCTGTTCAATCTGCACTCATTTCACCAAGGCTGCGTCCTTCCACTGGATATTCAGCCAGTCTGCAATCTTTGAAATTTAGTTCATTGCTTATGTTAAAGCTCAGTGTTGGGCTGGAACTGTTATCACCAAGCCTTCCAGACTACTCATGTACTGTGTGTTGCAAAAGGTAAATGTCAAAGCCCCTGTAAAGTAACGACACAGAAGGCCATAAAGGATAAGTGTAGGTGTTACTGTACTGTGTGTGGAGACCATAATTTGGCTGATGGTTGCCAGTTAAATGACTAACCCGTTATAGGGTATAGAACTTGTAATAAACTACTGCTTAACATTCCTGGAGAGAAACCGGATTCTTGAATTTATTCTTATCTATAAGACTATAAGTACTGTAGAGTTCCCCAAACAGTATCGTTAGATTTTCTGTCGCTACATTTTGAAACTGTAGACGAAATGCTTTGATATTATTATCCCCAGTGCATTATCAAGAGTTGGTACACCTGCTCACCACATCAGCAACAGCTAGAGGTGGGGGAGGGAGTCGTCCTTGTATGACACAATAGATACTGTACTTCAATTATAACAAGAAACCCATCAAGCTATATTAATGTACAGTGGTCCCTCGGTTAACGAACACAATTCGTTCCAGAAGGTCGTTCGTTAACCGAAACCATTGTTTCAATGGGATATTGGGTAATTTCCAGCTCACCGAAAATTACATACAAAGTAAAAAATAAATGCAGTAAAGTACACTTACTTTGAGATGTGTATGTAGAAGGTTCCTGGTTGATGATGATGATGATGGGAATTAGGAGTGGGGGAGGAGGAGAAGGGAGAAGAGAAGTAAGTGGGGGTGGAAGAGAAATCACCCCATGCTTGATGCCGTCATTTCACCCATAAAATTTTAAGTTCACTAGGTGTAATTCAAGATTATTTTCTTTAAATCAACACTGCACTGCACACATTGTCAATATGTTAAATAAATTTCAGAATGAGCAATAATTGTACTGTAAAAATGTAAAAATACTCTGTGTTCAAGAGACCCACAACCAAGATGTTTCCTCCACTGAACAGAGATACAAACTGAGGCCTTGGTGGGTGAGTGAAGTGGCTGATGGGCGCACCAAAAACTAGTTCCCTGTACTGCAATTATGTTAAATAAGTGTTAAAATGACAAAATGTTAATATAAAACTTGGAAAATTATTGAAGAGTACAACCTTCTTGATATTTACTCAAATAGTAATGAATGTAAGCCCTAGAACCGATTACTCTATTGGCGGGCTAATCTTCCAGCTGGTGAGCAAGCCAAAGCATGTCGAAAGATTTTTGTCAGAATTTCGTTAACCGAAATGAAGATTCTTATGGAAGGTAATTCGTTAACCGAGGCATTCGTTAACCGAGTGACCACTGTACAGTATAACAACCAACCGTTCAGAAACAGGTCAAGTAACATTGCTCAGAAAGCCTTGAACCACATTGACCCCATGGCTAACTTACTTTTTGAGGGACTGTACAGTACAGTACTGTATATTGTACTTTTTTCTGTAACTCTGGTACCATATATAATATTTCAATTGTTTACAGATGGCACTGCTGAAGCAAATATGATGGAGGCACTGATAGGCCTTTTGTATGGGGAAACTATTAGTGTTTCATCCTTGCATCTTGCTTCGCTCAACCAGTATGCTCAAATGCTTGGCCTCTCACATCAAATATGTGCATGTTTGGAGATGAACAAAGAACAAAATGTACCGGTAGTTCAGTTGTTAGAAAATGATGGTGGTGACGGTAAAAGCTACGCTCGGAAAAAACACCGCAGGAAGCCAGTCTTGACAAAAAGTTTTGAGCAAAGGGAAGAAGTAGGTGAAGCTAAGCAGGCAGAGCAAGTTAATGAAGGGAGTTTAGTGATTGAAACAATACCTGATCAAATATCAGAACCTTTACAAAGTAAACAGTCAGGTGATTATCCCTTGCTTGATTCCTTAGGAGTTAAAGTTGAGTGTGATAATGGTATATTGGAGTTATCGATGTTGTGCAGTGATGTTCATGACATGGGCGCTTCTGCAAACAGTAACTGGACTTCTGCTCATTGTAGAGAAGAACACGTGAGTTATGAGCAGCCACTAAACTCACAGATTCAGGAAGCTAATGTAAATGTATCTAACTGTGAGAATCCTCCATCTTTGGGAGCAGTGACAGACCTCACCACAGAGGCCACTGTGGAACAACCAAATATCAAAATGCAAGTAAGCGGTCATACTGAAACTGAAAGTGATGGAAATATTCATAGTGCAAATGACTGTACAGGTGATATTTTAAGCCTAGTCGTAAATACAGAAGAAGAAGAAGGTGTTTACTGTAGAGAGGCTCTGTCTCAGCACCAGAAGAAACAACAGAAACACAAGTCTATGGGAAAAGGGTTGGTATGTACAGTGTGTAGCTGTTCCTTCCAGCGGTGTGGTGACCTGGTGAAGCATGTGCAGAATGCTCAACACTTTACACACAAATGTCCTCTTTGCTTTGTCCAGGTGAGCTTCTTTCATTCCTAGTTTATGTCCTTGTCCTGTGGATCTTCCTAAGTAGCTCTTATTTGGCACCAGCTAAGTCTATGGGGTTAAGTCAGAGTCCAGATTTTGACTGGAAATGGTTAATGCAACTACTGTACATAATTAGAAGCTTAGTATTACCCCAACCAAAACCTTTGAAAAGAGACCTTACAGAAGCAGGAGTAGCCATGTGAAGCAAAATACAGATTGAGCCTAGCCCCATCAGCCATAATACACCTCCCTATCACCAGTTCACTTGTAACAAGACATAGTACCAATCCTGTCTCCATTACAAAACCTCTTGTAGGACACACTCGTCTTGTGAATTCAGACGCACCCATTTGATTAATTTAGTTTTAAGCTGCTGTACTGTACTGTTACTGTGGCAGTACTTGTGGCTCAAATATATCCTTTATTGGATAATTAGTAAAAATTATGGCTTTAATATTCGGATAATTGATGGATTACTTGTGAACTTTTTTATTTTAGATAAGTACAGTAATATTTTAAAGTTCTGTGTAGCATGAGTGATTTGCACCATAGTCACGACTTATTTGAATTCTGTCCGTCTTAAGTTATTCATTTTACCATGGATTGGTCCCAAGAACTATAACCTTTATATCAAACTGCTGGGCAGTGAAGTTAAATAGATAATGTCACAATCTTGTCCATCCTGAAGAGGCTTTGTACTTTACAGGAGATTTTCAAAGATTTCCATTCAACAAACTAGTAATGTGGACGGGGCAACTGAGAGGGGTATTGGTGACTGAGCGAATCTCAGTGGTGGAAGATTCCTGGATGAATTAACAAGGATAACATCTGTCTTCTATTGGTTAGGAGCAGGCCAAGAATGTGGAAGAGAGGAGAGCTAGGAGCAGGCCAAGAATGTGGAGGAGAGGAGAGCTAGGAGCAGGCCAAGAATGTGGAGGAGAGGAGAGCTAGGAGCAGGCTGAGAATGTGGAGGAGAGGAGAGTTAGGAGCAGGCCAAGAATGTGGAGGAGAGGAGAGCTAGGAGCAGGCCAGAATGTGGGGAGAGGAGAGCTAGGAGCAGGCTGAGAATGTGGAGGAGAGGAGAGCTAGGAGCAGGCCAAGAATGGAGGAGAGGAGAGCTAGGGAGCAGGCCAAGAATGTGAGAGGAGAGCTAGGCAGGCTGAGAATGTGGTGGGAAGAGAGGAGAGCTAGGAGCAGGCTGAGAATGTGGAGGTGAGGAGAGCTAGGAGCAGGCCAAGAATGTGGGGGTGAGGAGCTAGGAGCAGGCCAAGAATGTGGGGAGAGGAGCTAGGAGCAGGCCAAGAATGTGGAGGAGAGCTAGGAGCAGGCCAAGAATGTGGAGGAGAGGAGAGCTAGGAGCAGGCCAAGAATGTGGAGGAGAGGAGAGCTAGGAGCAGGCCAAGAATGTGGAGGAGAGGAGAGCTAGGAGCAGGCCAAGAATGTGGAGGAGAGGAGAGCTAGGAGCAGGCCAAGAATGTGGAGGAGAGGAGAGCTAGGAGCAGGCCGAGAATGTGGAGGTGAGGACAGCTAGGAGCAGGCCAAGAATGTGCAGGAGAGGAGAGCTAGGAGCAGGCCAAATGGGAAGAGGTTGTAAGTGACCTGAGAAAGATGGACCTGATGAGAGGCTACTAGAGGTCATTGCCATCAAGTCACACAATAGTCACTGTGCATGGAGGTTTTGGTTCCATCAATAACATGAGCCTCTTGGTACACCTGTAACCTTATAAAGCAAGGATTGATCTTCATACCACATTGATGTGGCTTCGTTCAGTTAACCTTCTGTTTGATAAAGTAACTCATGTCTCTGTGAAGAAAATTCAAGTGTTCTTAGTAAGGGGATGGTGAAGTTAATCTTATTAGTTTGAACGAGTATTTCCTTGGTACTGTACCTTGAGTTACTAGGTCTGGCCTCAATTCTCAAATATGTTTTCGGGTCAAGTCCACCGTCTTTAATTTTCATGTTTCTTTCCATCCTTGTTTGAAGGTAAGTTACAGATGTTAATGGAAGATTTTCTTTAGACTGTCAAAGAAATGATATATGCCATTTATTTAGTCATTTTATTGGCTGTAGTGTATTTTATTACTGTACAATCTTAGTACAGTATTTGTAATGTAATTATTGTATGTGTTTGCTTTAGGTTCGAGAACTGGAGGGACAGCGACTTCATTTTGCTCTTCATGATCAGGAACTGCCATTCTTTTGTATGTACTGTGATCTAAGATTCCGAACTCGTGCCGCCCTGACAATGCATGCACCAAAGCACTCTACAACTAAACCGTAAGTCTTATTGTATAGTAGAGCGGGGAATGTTTAACTGGGCCAGAGTGAAGCACTGTATGTATATGATAGTGGAAGGCATTAACCTGGAAAACATGGTAGAAGTACCATATATTGCAGCCTATAAGTTGACTTTTGAAGCTCAAATTTTTTTGTTCAGGACTAGGGGTTGTCTTAAACAACAGGTCTACCTCTAAGTATGGCTCCCCCACTAGCATCAAACTTTGACTTCTACTGGTGCAGTAGTCTCAATCACTCCGTACTAGGTTGCAACTTAATTTCCAGCACTCGCAAACAAGTTTTACCTAACTGTAGCATTTTTCCAGAAGGGAAACTGTTACTGAAGTCAGCCTAAGGTCAGTGCTTACACTCGTCATATTATGGGAGTCCCTACACATAAGGACTTCTTTCAAAACATTAAAATATCTTTGGTGTTAACTATGGCTTTTTACAAACAAACGTTACTGGGGCATTACTTGTAATATTTGTTGTTAAATTGTTTAAGAATGCAGTTACAGTACATTCATGTAATGCTCCTGGATTTTATAAACATTTACATGAATGTGGTGTAAAGTTATAAACAAGGCAGATGCCTGGGAACAGCTGGCTGGCTTGTGGTAGCTCTGCCAGTGTTGCCAACACCTGTTTGTGATTGTCACTAGATTCATCGCTAAAGTTGCTACAAAGTCGCTAAATATGAAAAAATCTGGAGAAATACCAGTACATGTAAGACATTATGTAAAAAGAGAATACTGTAATTGGTAACAATGACTAATGCCCAAAACTGTGACAAGTGGCATTAAAGGTTGACAGTGACAACAACGCTAAGCTGGCAACAGTCATGAGGTCAACAGATGAAAGATCTCTCTCTCTCTTGTGCAGTTCAGTAGCCCTTAAATCCTACATGTATTTATTTACATGTACATACCAGTATTATTATTACAGCATGCCCTTCAAATTCGCGGGGTTAGGTTCTCAAAATCACCCAATCCGCAAATAGCTTTTGCTGACCCGTGGGGGGGGGGGGGTCATTTTTACTTGTGTACAAAGAAATGTATACTCCATTTACGTGTTTGCCCTTAAGACAATTATTTCTTTTACCTGTATTGTATATATGTATGTGTGTGTAGACACACACACACACACACACACATAAAACACATACAAATAAATAATAATTTGAAAAACCTCTCACAATAATCAGAAAAAAATTTAGTACAAATGTTGAGTCTACCCTTGTCTACTTCGTGCTCTATTCATAACAAAGCACGAATGGAGTTGAGGGTTGACTCAACGTTTTTAATATTTTTTCTGATTATTTGTGAGAGGATTTTCCTATTATTATTTATATGTATGTATTTTTTGTGTGTCTCTATACACACACACACACACACACATTCATATACATTAAAGGTAAAAGAAATTACTGTCTCTAGAACAAATGGCTCTCTGTCCCGACAGTGAAAATGCCGGCAACTTTAAAACTACCCTTCAACGTTCTTGGGTACATCCAGGGTGTCATCCATGAACAATAGAGGACAGCGAAATAAAAATTGCGAATTATCCGGACGTACTGTATGTGTATTATCAGGTATTCATTTGTAACATACAGTACTGTATATATTCGTCAACCAACAAACATATTGAAGGAAGGGATGAGCGTCTCTGCAACTAGCCGGTTGTCTGGTGTCAACTAATCCACGGTGCGGTACATTAACCTTTATACCCCGGGCATCGCAAGACCCGCCTAACCTCCCACACAGCCATATTTCGGTAAAAAAACATTAAAAAATACTTTGTCACCTTATAAGTGGGTTAATAAGTACAGTACCTGTACAGTAATACCTCGCTTTACGCTGTCAATTGAACCCACGGAGGCCCGCATAAGGCGGGAAACGCGTAAAGTGAACAACAGAACATATGGGATTAATTGAAATAGAGACCGGGCCGACCCCCAAACTCCACTTTTTCTGACACAATACCTACGCACACGCACAGGAAAAAATAAAAAATATCTTGGGAGACCACAACACTGTGTGGCGAGGCCTGACGGGAAACTGACCGTTTGGCGTCCGAGCAAAAACAAGCATGTGTGCTCACGCGCACATTTACCGGAAATTCCCTTCAATAGTGGAAAGTTCTGCTAGATTGAGAAGCAAATACTGTCATGTACTGTATATCTCAGCTTTTATAATGGGAATCTATAGGAAAATGTGATCTGATTTATAAAAGGATTTTCAGGAATGGAATCCTTTCATATATCTGTGAATGCTTGCACATAAAGCACAGATGTTGATAATATCTTTACTTGTGTATTCTTATATTTTTTCTTATTTAAAACCCAAAAATATAACATGAGAGGTGACCAACATGTATTTTCTACAGGTTTGTGTGTAATGAATGTGGGAGAGGATTCAAATGGCGCCATGCACTTCAGGCTCACTCTTACACCCACAGTCCCACCAGTCGCCTGCTGTGTGATATATGTGGCTTTTCCTCTAAGTATATAAGTAGCTTTAAGGCTCACTTGATGCAGCATTCTGGTCGAGCGTTCCCCTGTCCTCACCCAGGATGTGCCTTTACCTCCAGCCGCAAAACTCATCTTAATGATCATCTTGCGACCCACTCAAAGGTTAGTCTTTCTCCGGATAAGCTCCCAATTTTCCTCCTCAAAACTCTTTATGCTATATACAGTTTTATTATTCTGTGGATGAAAGGTGATGAATGTTTTTCAGTACGAAGTACCTGTACCTGCAGATGAAAAAGAAATGATATGGTGGTCATTTTAATTTTGTTTTCACTGCTTAGATTATTTCTATAAGAATTTTATATTTTGATTTAGGTCTAAAATACTGGTGTAAGAGAGAGGTACTTTTGTGTTTTTTTATACTCAAGCTTTTCCCGCTTAATGCAGGTTACTTGAATAAAGAATGAATGCAAACACACATACACTTAGTGAACTTTTTTCATTTATATTTACTCAGTTACATGCACACACCATCCTAAAGACATATTTTGAAAAAAAAAAGTCAATGAAATAATTGTCCTTAGGCCAAACACGTAACGGAATCAGCGTCCCAGCTGGTCTTCGTTACTCTGGTGCAGCAGGTAGTGTATGCAAATGGCGACTGTGTGAAATCTTCATTTGGCTTTTATTTAGTACTGGTTTGGCAATATTATTTTTTGTTATAACTTATTTATTGGTATTATTTTTATTTATTCCTCACATTTACTGGCATTGTGTGTATTATTTTAAGAAAACTATGGCTGAGGTGTTATGGTTGTTTTTTAACTCGTATTTTTGGGTAGATATACGTAACTTTCTTCATTTATTTTTGTTAATTTACATGCACACACCATCCTACATACATATTGTGAAAAAAGTACAGTGCAGTATTACACCACAATTACTGACATCCTTCATGTTGGGTTGGCTAGATGGCTACAAAATAAATTCTGTAAGTCTGATCTACGTATCAACCCAGCTGGTGCTCAGATGCCATTTGTTCTAGTGACAGTAATTTCTACGAGGAAAAAATTTCTGATGTCAGCCCAACCAACCCAACTTTAATAACAAAGAATGAGTTGACTTGAGGGTAGACTCTTGCATTTTTCTATATTTCTATACATTTTGTTGTCTTGTTTCTGATTATTTGTGAGAAGATTTTCCCATTATTATTTATTTACGTGTTTTGTTTGTGTGTGCACACACACACACATACAGTACAAGAAAGATAAATAATTGTCCTAAGGGCAAACACATAAAGGGAATATACATTTGCCTCAGCAAGTATTCACAAACAAATATTTGAAGGAATTAATAACTTGAATCATATTTGAATTTTTTTATTTTACTTTTTTATTATAGAAGAGATGAGCCCAAAAATTCAAGAATAGATTTCTCATGGAACTCCTTTCCTCAAATAGAAGAAATTAATTCGTTTAAAATGCTCTGATTATTAACCCCTTCACTTTGGGGACACCACTTTTGATATTATTTGGCTAATGCCAGATGATTTTATTCAGTTCAGAGGTGAGGGGAGCATACACAAGGGGTTAATTCAGCTTACTGGCAAACTAGTTTCTTAAAGGGCTGCATTAACTTAATGAAGGCTTTGTTAAGACAACAAATTATTTGTTGTTATAAATTTGAGCTTATACTTGATCTAAAGTAACATATTTCACACATAAAAATATCTGTTAATACATTTTCCCTTCCAGACAAGGGTCCATCAATGTGAAGTGTGTGGCCACTCCTTCTCCCATGCCAAGAATATGCGACGTCATATGCGTCTTCATGCTCCTGCCTCTAATCTTCTTACGTGCACAGTAATATCCAAATTGCAGTGTAACTTCAGGACCACTCGACCAGACAAGCTCCGTGATCACCTTTCTAAGAAACACAATCTAAATCGTCATACTGTTTCTTCAGATCCATTAGCAAAGCTACTCAGTACATCTACATCACCTGTAACAAATGAAGATGGCAATTTAGCTCACAATTCATCTTTGGATGTATTGCAGAGTCTTGATGGCATAAAATCAACAAGTGAAGCAGATTTTACATCCATAATGCAAGAATCAAATGCAGATATGCCAGATTTGGACAAAATTGAGCAAAAAACAGGAAAACTAGATAGCGTGACAAGTGTAGTTGTTAAGAATAAAAGACATTTTCAGTCCTCCGGTCAAGTTGATGACTCCCAACTTAGAGGGCACACAGATGTTCCTTGTGAACAAGAAACTTTCTCAGTACTTGTTTCATCACCAGGTATTGTAGAGTTACCTGATATCCAGACTTTAGAGAATGAAGCGTGCAGTTCAGTGAAACAACACAATGTTACTGAAATTGCTGATAGTTTCCCCACAGGATTCTTAGTGGAACATGATATTTTATTAGATAAAACAAACTCATCTGACGTGAATGAATCACAACATCTACAAACAGAAAACAGTATTTCTGCTCTTGAAAATAATCTTATAACTCACTCCCATCATAAACTCAGGTTGTCAGTTAATGATCCAGTTCAAGATGAAGGGAATCTAGACTTAGTCAGCAGCAGCCACGTTGATACAATGTCCTACTCAGATAGCTGCAATTTCTCCAGGTCAGAAGATAGTGTTGTGATGGAGGTTATGGACCCTTCAGGTGACATAACCAACAGTTCAAGTCAGAGGTCTGGAATAAGTTTAATGGATCAAGATGCTTTACAGAAGAAGACTGATAAACAAGAACACTGCATGGAATCCCTCAATATTCTGGAGTTTATGCTGGATAATGTACCTGAATGATTAATGATTTTTAATTTACAGTCAACCCTCGCTTTACGCAGTCCCATATTCCGCGTTTCCACGTTTACTCGGTACCCTGCCGAAACAGGAATGCTCACATTCCGCGGTGCGTGTACCCCTTTACGCGGAGAGCGGCTGGCGAGCCGCTCCATTTTTGGATCCATCTCTCCCGCCCTCCGCCATGTTGTGTAAGCGGCACGAGCAGGGTGCGCACAAGGTCGCCCAGTCATCAAAACATTACCGAGTTCTTCACCCGCCACCCACCACAGCCGGCCCAAGTCAGTGATAGTGATAATTATAGTGAGGATATGGACTTATATGGACTTTGAGGGGTTTGACAAAGAGGCCCTGCAAGCCTCTGTGGTGGATAGTGATACAATTGATACAAGTGATACAGGTGAGGGCCAATAATCTGCCCTCTGCCTCGGAACCAACCGCCCATCCCCGTGTGCCCAGCCATCTTTTCTACTAATGTAAGTGTTAAAAAACCTAATATTATTGATATTTCTCTTAATTATATATTGTGTGTGCATACCATCATAAAATTAAGAAGTTATTTTTACTACAACGTAGGTATTGTGTCTGAAAAAGTGGAGTTTGGGGGTGGGGCCAGTCTCCATTTCAATTAATCCCATATGTTATGTTGTTCACTTTACGCGGGCCGCCGTGGGTTCAATTGAATGTGTAAAGTGAGGGTTCACTGTACCGATGTCAAGCATTGGATCAAGGACTGATAACATTTTAATGGTATTATAATTATGAGCTGGACATTATCTCTGTAGCTTGAGACTACTGATGGGCCTTGTATTCCCTGCAGTCATCTTACATCAGCTAATCCTCATGGAGAAAGCCACCAAATGTATTGGTGAGTAGAGTACTGTATACAGTACTGTATTCATTATGTTCAATCAAGAAAACTTTGTAGGATAGAGAATCATCATGAAAATGGGGACTGTGGATGCCTGGAAACTTATTCCCCTTTTTACTGTGGAAATTGATCTTTGCACATACGTACTGGTCATGTCTTGGAAAAATTTCCTTGTACAATATAAGTTAATCTATGAGCACAGCTGTATCCTTTCATCACTGAAAGTTGTTATAGCTTGTATTCATTCACAAATAATGGACAGTATGTAAATCTTGGCCCCTTAATCTCCAGTCTTTTTAAATCTTGTTTGGTTCTTGTACAGTACCTTAAATATTTATAGAAAATCCTTCTGACGTACAGACATTCCCCAATTTACGGAAGGCTTCCGTTCTGGAAAACCCTTTCATAAATAAATTTTTCATAGAGTGGAGCACATTTTCCCAAAGGTTTCTATTATAAAACCTGAGATATATGATCATAAGCCAATAATAAACATATTAAGTGAAATACATGCAGTACAGTAAAGTAATGATTTTATCCCACGCTTAACCCCTGATTAGTTATTGCGTTTCATCCTAAATTCCCTCTGCAATGATTACATGACGCAAACGTTACTGTCAATCTGCTGATGCTACATTCTCGCTCTCTTGTGCATTACCAGCAATATCCACTACTTCAAATAATTGTTCCCTTCCAAACTCCACACTTTCTCCTTCAACCATATGTGTGTACACCTTTATTGTACCTAATTAGCATCTAAAATTTAAGAATACATAACTGATTAGTTTTCTTATACAGATAAACTTCAATAAATGATGGGGTTAAATTCCTGAACACCCATCGCTGAGTGAAATATTGTAGACTGAGCATTATAACATGGGGTTCAATGGGATACGTTCCCAGCCAGTCCCCATAACACACGTGTCATTGACAAAAAATTCCTACATGTATAAAATCAATAGGAAATAGTTACAGAACACTTACCACATCATTAAGAACAAGTCTGGTCATCATGAAGGCCTTATAAGGGGGCTCTTGTGGGTGGAGTGGAGACATGACCCACACAGCCTCTGGGGAGTCTCATGCTGCTTAACAATGTCAAGCTTCACCTCAGAGACACAGTTGTCTTGGCCTTCCCAGACATTTTCACAGTTACACTGCTCACTTCACAGTCACAAAAACAACGCGAATGATGATAACGCAAAAACAATGATAGCGGCCGACACTGCTCACATCATTTTCACAACTGTAACACGCATAACTCTCACCACTGTGTCAAGGGTTTGAGCCTCGGTCCAGACACAGAGTGTGACTCTCACTAACAAACACCACAGGTTTCCCAGTCCCCGGTTTCTTCCTGTACTAACACTGGGTAGACCGCCGAAACAGCTAGTGAGCTGATAAGTGGCGAATATGATATTAAAAAATAGCCACAAAAACACAGAAAATATCGCTTCAGTCACCATAACATTTCAATTTACATGTTAGTGCTGTCCTCTCACTGTAAGAAAAGAAACACTGATGATAAGTACTGTGCAATGTACATACAGCCATTGATGCTGAACGATAATCATGGAGCTACAAGAAGGCGGGCAGATGTGATTGACAAAGTACCAAGCACCAAGCACAGGACTGTAGTGTGTGGGTTGGGCGTGTGGCGGCACGTGGGTAGATATTACTGCAGCTGACAAGTGAGTGAGAGATCCGTGGTGCATAGGGTTAAATATTGTTTCCTTATGAGATGTCATTGATTTGATGAAGAAAAATATAATTTGTATTGCTGGAATCTTTGCAAGATAGCGATTAGTTACAGTATATACAACCCATAGTTTGCTCTTATTTTTCTTTTTTTGCACATTCTATATGTAAGATTATCTGTGTTTGTAATAAAAAATGAAGAAAATTACATCTATTGTACATAGGGAGAGAGCTAGGGGGATGTAGCTACAGTGATGTGGCTACAACAATGGCACCAGTGATGTTAACTGATACAAACAAAAGGAAAGTTATCTATAAATCTTCACTTGTGTCAAGTATTTATAGATTTAAAGTGGCATATACTGTACAGTACTGTTAGTGAAGGAGGTTCTGCTCTTGATGCAACAACATAAAGAAAGACTCTAGGGGTATGGCAGGTAAGGCCAGGGTGAAGGAGCTTGGTAGGTCTACCTGGTAGTTATCATTCACTGTAAATGATCCATGGAAATACACCACTTCTAAACCCCATTTTTGCATAATTTTTTTTTATAAAAAACTTGAGAAAATAAAAAATAAGAAAAAAATTGCACCATAAAAAATAGAAATGGAAAAAAAAAAAGATCAAGATTGAGAAACAATACTTATGTTGTGATGCCTCTAAAGAGTTAATAGATGATGATACATTTGGGTAAATAACCACAAAAAGTAGAGAGACAAGTACAGTACACACAGACATCGGCTGTTTAAAACTGAAGCGTACGCCACCATGGTGGCTAAACCTACCAGTTTCAAAACTAATAAAAGTTCATCAAACGGTTTTCTAGTAAATCCGGTTTCCTGGGAGCCAGATAAATGGTCTGGTATCTGTACTTTATATTATGCTTTCTCTAAATCCATGAATACAGCATATACCTTCTTTTTTACAGTACAGTACTGTACTAACATATGGTCCTGTATTCTTTAGCATGTACCTGTACTGTATACTGTATTTCGTCAATACTGTACGTACACTCTTTTCCCTGTTCTTCATCTATAATGCCACTAATCTAATGGATCTTACACATTTGCACTATTCTATAATACACTGTGTTCCATGAATCATTGAGCAACATGATGAAAGAAATATCTCAATTTTTTTTAAAAGACGGCCTTGATTATACATACAGCAACATAATGCTTGGAAGAAAATACTAAAAATAGAAATCCACTTTATTAACAGTAAGCTTAATAATACCTTTATATTGTGGAGAAAATATTCCATACAAAAAGCTTACTTTACACATGTACAACAAGATGATGCTAATATCTTGTAGCAAATTACAGTAATACTGTACTGTGCTCCTTTAGTCTATAACACTGGGATAATGGTAACAGGTACAATACTGGACAACTATTTGAAAATCATATTCTAGTTTAAATAACAAGATAAAAGTTTTTATTCCTTAGGAAACCAAGTAATATTGTACAGGTACAATCAGGGAAAAAAGTTGGCTCCCCGCAGTGAAACTGAATGACAGGAATGAGTCTCCAAACTGACTTACCCCGACTGTTTCATCTCATTTGGGGTCAATGCTGCTTCATTTTGGGCGAGAGTGCACTTTTGATGCCAACTGTACAGCACTGTACATAGTAACAAAATTTATTCCAAGAAACACACAAACAGCTTCTGAAGTTTTCAGATTGTTACATTGCAAAATGGCTCAGAGAATGTTTACTTCACTTACAACTGACCTGCACCATTATACTGTATATATAAAAAAAAAGCTATGGTTTACATTTTTCAAAAATGAAAAAGGAAAAATCATGTTACAGTAATGCATAAAATATATTTGCCTCATTTAGGTATTGTCTTGTGAATTAGGGAAACATAAACTGTACAAGCAAATTATGTTTAGTATCATTTTTAATTCCTTCTTGCTTAACAAAAGCATTTATGTATACAGTCAGCCCTCACTTTACACAGTTAATGTAACCCGCAGGGTCCCGCGGAAAGTGAATAACATAACATATGGGATTAATTGAAATAGAGTCCGGGCCGACCCCCAAACTCCACTTTTTGACGACACACAACTATGTTGTAGTAAAAATTTTATCTTAACTTTATGATGGTATGAAAAAACAAGTAATATAGAAGAGGTTAGGTTAGGAAAAATAAAGGTTAACATAGGAAAAATAAAGGTTAGGTTAGGAAAACTAAAAGTTATGTGGAACACTTACGTTAGTAGATGAGATGGGTCGGCATACGGGGATGGAGGCTGGTTCCGAGGCAGAGGGCAGATTACTGGCCCTCGGGTGAATCACCATCGCTGTCACTTACAGTTGTCAGGGCTTCCCTGACAAATCCCTCAGTCATCTTCACTGTCACTATCACTGGCTTGGGCTGGCTGTGGTGGGTTGCGGGCGAAGAAATCTGTTATGCTTTGCTGACGGCTGGTGTTGATGTTGTCGTGATACGCCTTGATGTAGGGCTCTATAGTCTGCAACAGCTGGGTAGTGAAGATTTCATACCTGTTTGTGTCAGGGTCGTCGGAAAGGAGGAGCTTGGCTTTCTCGATACACTCGATGGCATCCCTAACATTACTATGGGATAAGTGTTGTTCTTCTTGGGATGACGCACCACCTGCCTCTTCACTGACGTCGTCCTCATCATCATCTACCATCTCGTCGGTAGTCACATCAGGATCCCTTATCACCTCCAGGATGTTGTCGTTGGTGGTCTCGGAGAAGCCTGGAACTGTAACAGTCTGCGCAGCTTCTCTGGCAAGGTCCACTGCTACTGCAACATTCTGAACCTCACCAGTCACAGATTGACTCCTCCTCTCACCTGGTATTCCATGCAACACATGTCTCCATGCGTGACGAATTGTAGCAATAGACAGCTGATCCCATGACTCCACCAAGAAGTCCACAGCTTTCTTAATGTTAAATACTCTCCAGAATTGTTTGAACAGTATTTTTTGCTGTGCCAACTGTTGATCCTCATCTTCTTCGCTCTTGCTATCGGTGGTGGTGTCACTCAGGTTGCGCAACTCTTCCCTGGTGTTGATGTAGTCGTTCAGGAGTTTGAATTTTTTCGTAGAGAATGCAGCTTTTACATTACAGATTAACTCTTGGTCCATGGGCTGTAATATAGACGTAGTGTTGGGAGGAAGGAAGACCACTTTTACGTTGGGGTGACGATCTAACAGTAGGGGCGAGTGTCCTGGTGCGTTGTCCAGCAGCAACAAAATCTTGAATGGCACATTCTGTTGCTCACAGAATTTCTTTACATCGGGAACAAAACAGTCATCAAACCAGGAGAGGGACAGTGTAGAGAACATCCACGCCTTACGTGCGGTCAGCCAGTGGACATTTAGCTTGGTCATGTCCATGGTTTTGTAGGCGTGCGGCTTGCGTGCTGTGTGGATCACCGATAACTTGAGCTTACTGGTACCGGAGGCATTGGTGGTAAACAGGACGGTGATGCGTTCCTTCTGCATCTTCCGGCCCCGAATCTTGCTGGCATTCTTTACAACGAAGGACTTGGAAGGTAGCTTTTTCCAGAAAAGACCAGATTCGTCCATGTTAAACACCTGGTCGTCACTGTACTGTCCTTCCTCCATAATCTCACGTAAAAACGGAGGAAATTCCCTAGCCGCAGCACGGTCAGCACTCACTTCTTCACCACCAATGTTTATATTGGTGATCTTGTTCCGGATCTTAAACCTCTGTAACCACCCAGAGGAAGCATTAAAGGGTTTGGGCTCTGTAGTTCCCATCTTAAGTGCCACTGCCATGTACAGTTCACGTGCGTAGTCCTTAACAGAGCGCGTGTTGACCGCCATGTTCCGTCGCGCCTGACGCACCAAGTACCTCACAAGTAATTTTTCTGTCTTGAGAAGCACCTGGTTGTGAAAATACTTGATCATAGAAGCACCTGTAGACTTTGTGATCTTCATGTGCTCCTTTATCTTGGCTGCATCCTTCTTTATTGTTCGAATCGTAGATTCATTCACACCATGCTGGCGCGCCAAATCAACCTGCCTTGTTCCTTTCTCCAACTCTTGGATGATGGTATACTTCACCTCGTAGCTTAAGGAACGTCGTGTCTTCTTTGGCTTAGTGCCGCTGGGTCCAGGTAAGGAAAGGTTTCTCTCTGGGGGTGGTGGTCCGGCGGAAGCCATTTTAGAGAACAATGGATGCACGTTTACACGGTCTGGCGTGGAGGGATGAAACTGGCGCAGCTAGGTCAAGGATCATCTTTCCTCCCTCCCCCGGGTGGACACGTCATAATACTTTAAGCCAATTACAGCTAGCAGCAGAGGGGGGTAGGGATGCATGGCCAATCACAGTCCGATACGTCATATGACGTCAGTGATAACGCAACAAAGACACACACTGCGCAACCTTACCGCGCGGCTTGCCCAAGCGGAGGGAGGAGGAGGGAGAGGCGAGGAGCACAGGCAGGCAGGTGGGTGGGGCGAATCTAAAAATAGCGTCGCGCCGGACACTCTCCGCGTAATGGGGTTCACGCACCGCGTAATGTGAGCACGTTAGGTTCTGGCAAGGCACCGCGTTAACGTGGAATGTGGGACCGCGTAAAGTGAGGGTTGACTGTACAGTATTAGCATTACATGTATTTTATTAAAACATCAGGCATGAAACTGAACTTTGTGGGACAATGCTGTAATGATAGTGATGATCATCATTGACAATTTAATGACCATTTTCCAAACTCACATGTGAGCCATAATTATCTGATGGCAGCTCTCCATGCTGCCTGGTCTTGTGCAAGTTCTCTCATCAGGTTCTTAACTTATTTAATCTTTTATAACCTCTCCCCATGTCATTCTTGACCTACTCTCCACACTCAGTCTCATGCACCTCTTGACCCAGTTGGTCTCCACCATGTCACCTCAGTCTACTTTTCTGTAAAACTCAGCTTATAATCTGGACAGGATTTCTTATCTTTTCGTGTAACATCTACCTCAGCATTTTCATTTCAGCTTGCTCAAGCATGTGTATATCATCCTCTTTAACTGCTCATATTACAGTGCCCTATAACCTCCCACTTCTCACATCAATTACATACCCCAATTGGCTACTCAGGTGAGGAGAGTACAGGGGTGATCTAAATTTGAGTGGTTATGTTGGGGTAAATAGAGTACAGTATTATAAGAGATCTATCGGTTCGTCCGAGCGGATCTTCTGCCGAGCCCACTACCTCCCAATGGTGTTCGTCTTCGCGACACTTTTATGTCAATGTGGTGTTTACACTTGATTCTACTCTTTATAAAAAGGTCATTAATATCCGTTGCTTTATATGTTTGCTGTCATTTGTCTTGATATACCTGTAATTACTAATTAGTGAAGAGAAATAGTGGATTTATTCCAAATGTATTCTCCTTAAATAATGAATGTTTGTGACTGCAATGGTAAACATTCTTTATTTAAAAAAAAAAATTCCACTCATTTCTTGAAAGTTAATGTTTTCAATCAGTTATATCTTTGAACACATTAAATTCAGCATTAACCGCTACACCCCTGGTTGACATTCCAGAACGTCCATCTAGGGCGCCCCGGTTGATGTTCTGGAATGCGCTCCATTTCGCGGCATTGTTTGAATGCCCAGCTCGGGTTATCATGTTCCAGCGTGACTATTTGCCTCTCACACCACACGCTCGGCCCAGGGAAGCTTCCTGAATGTAAGTACCTGCCTTTGTTTGTTTCATTTTCATTGTCTGCCCATTTATCACGGTGTATCAAAGTAATACAGTAAGTCCTCGTATGACGTCGGTGTGCTTAATGTTGTTTCAGTATTACGTCACTAATCTTCAGATACCAAAAATTTGGGACGATGACTTGGTCGTTTTGCGTCCTCACAGACTACTTTTTACGGTGTATCACCCTCTCTCGTTTGGCTGCGCTATCCTCCTCTTCCTCCGCTCCCGCCTCCTCCGCTTCACTACCCATCTCACACTCGCTCTACCACCTCCGTCCATCGGTGAGTATTAATACAAACTTAGTAATTGTATATGTATGCCTTATTTTCTATATAAATGTCAATGATTTTCTGTACATGTAATGTATTTCACGGGTCAAAGGGAGGCCGGGGAACATAACACCCATATTTTATGTATTTCTTATGGGGAAAATTTATCAGCTTAATGTTGTTTCGTATAACGTCCCGTTTTCAGGAACGTGTCCCCAACGTTAAGCAAGGATGCCCTGTATTGTTAAAAGTATTGTAGTTTTACTGGAAAATAATGCTATGATTATGTTATAAATGTCCATTTTATCATGTTGTATCAAAGTAATATTGCTAAAAGAAGTGTAGTATTACTGGAAAACAATGCTGTGATTATGTTATAAATGTACAGTAGTACCCCGCTTAACGCGGTCAATAAAACCCACAGGGTACCGTGTTAAGTGAAAACCGCGCTAAGTGAACAACAGAACATATGGGATTAATTCCAATAGAAACTGGCCCGACCCCCAAACTCCACTTTTTGACGACACATAACTATGTTGTAGTAAAAATTTTATCTTAACTTTATGATGGTATGAAAAAACAAGTAATATAGAAGAGGTTAGGTTAGGAAAAATAAAGGTTAAGTTAGGAAAACTAAAAGTTATGTTGAACACTTACGTTAGTAGAAGAGATGGGTCGGCGTACGGGGATGGAGGCTCGTTCCGAGGCAGAGGGCAGGCTACTGGCCCTCAGGTGAGTCACCATCACTGTCACCCACACTTGTTATGGCCTCCCTGACAAATCCCTCAAAGTCATCTTCTCTGTCACTATCACTGGCTTGGGCTGGCTGTGGTGGGTTGCGGGCGAAGAACTCGGTTATGCTTTTTTGACGGCTGGTGTTTATGTTGTCTTGATACACCGTGATGTACGGCTCCATAGCCTGCACCAGCCGGGTATGGAAGACTTCATAGCGGTCATCGTCATTGTCATGGGAAAGGAAGGACTTCATTTTCTCTGCACACTCCATGGCACCCTTAATATCACTATGACTCAAACTGTCTTCTTCGGAGAATGACGCACCTTCTTCCTCCTCTTCACTGACGTGATCTTCTTCCAACATCTCGTCGGCAGTCACTTCAGGATCTCTGATCACCTCCAGGATGTCTTCGTTGGTGGTCTCGGAGAAGCCTTCAGCTGTAATATTGAGCGCAGCTTCTCTGGCAAGGTCCACTAACTGCAACAGTCTGAACCTCACTAGTCACAGGTTCACTCCTCCTCTCACCTGGTATGCCATGCAACACATGTCTCCATGAATGACGAATCGTAGCAATAGACAGCTGATCCCATGCCTCCACCAAGAAGTCTACAGCTTGTTTGACGTTAAACTTCTTCCAAAATTGTTTGACGAGAACTTCTTGAGTCGCCACCTCTTGTTCCTTGTCCTCGTCGCTTTTACTCTCGCTGTCGGTGTCACCCAGCTTACGCAACTCATCCTTGGTGTTGGTAGAGTCATTCAGGAGCTTGAACTTCTTTGCAGAGTACGCAGCTTTCACATTGCAGATCAACTCCTGGTCCATGGGCTGGATTAATGACGTAGTGTTGGGAGGAAGGAAGACCACTTTTACGTTGGGGTGACGATCCATAAGTAGGGGCGAGTGTCCAGGTGCGTTGTCAAGGAGCAACAAAATGTTGAATGGAACATTCTGTTGCTCACATAATTTCTTCACGTCAGGAACAAAACAGTTGTCAAACCAGAAGAGGGACAGAGAAGAGGACATCCACGCCTTACGTGCGGTTAGCCAATGGACATTAAGCTTGTTCATGTCCATATTCTTGTAGGCGTGCGGCTTGCGGGCTGTGTGAATCACCGATAACTTTGGTTTACAGGTACCGGAGGCATTGGTGGTAAACAGGACGGTGATGCGTTCCTTCTGCATCTTCCGGCCCCGAATCTTGCTGGCATTCTTTACAACGAAGGTCTTGGACGGTAGCTTTTTCCAGAAAAGACCAGATTCGTCCATGTTAAACACCTGGTCGTCGGTGTACTGTCCTTCCTCCATAATCTCACGTAAGAACGGAGGAAAATCTCTAGCCGCCACACGGTCAGCACTCGCTTCCTCACCACCAATGTTGATGTTGGTGATCTTGTTCCTCTTCTTAAACCTATGCAGCCAACCAGAGGAAGCATTGAAGGGTTTGGGCTCTGCAATTCCCAGCTTACGTGACACTGCTGCGTATAGCTCACGTGCGTACTCCTGCACTGAGCGCGTGTCCACCGCCATGTTGCGTCACGCCTGACGAATCAAACAACTCGCCAGCAAATTTTCCACTTTTGCCAGCACCCTGTTCTGGCAATACCTGATCGTTGAAGCACCTGCAGACTTTGTGATTTTCATGTGCTCTTTGATCTTGGCTGCATCCTTCTTGATAGTGCAAATCGTAGATTCGTTGACGCCATGCTGGCGCGCGAGATCAACTTGCCATGTTCCTTTCTCCAAATCTTGAATGATCTGGTACTTCACTTCGTAGCTTAGACCACGGCGTGTCTTCTTGGGCTTAGGGTGGCTGGGTCCAGGTAAGGAAAGGTCTCTCTCTGGTGGCGGTGGTGGTCCGGCGGAAGCCATTTCACAGAACAATGGGTTCACGTATACACGGAGTGGCCTGGAGGGATGAAACTGCCGCGGCTAGGTGAAGCGTCGTCTTTCCTCCCTCCCCCGGGTGGACACGTCATAATACTTTAAGCCAATTACAGCTAGCACCGGAAAAGGGGGGGGGGGTAGGGATGCATGGCCAATCACAGTCCGATACGGCATATGACGTCAGTGATAACGCAACAGAGATGTGCACTGCGCAACCTTACAGCGCGGCTTGCCCAAGCGGAGGGAGGAGGCTGGAGCAGGCGGGTGGGGCGAATCTAAAAATAGCGTCTCGAGCCGGACACTCGCCGCGTATACGTGGAAAAAACCCGCGTTAAGTGAAGTTCGTCTCTGGCTAAGCGGGGTATTACTGTACAATGGTCCCTCGGTTAACGAGTTACCTTCCATAAGATTCTTAACTTCAGTTAACGAGCAATCCCTCGGTTAACGAGTTTCTTACGAGCCGACCTCAACAAGTTTTGGCTTGCACTTGGTCAACCAGCTTTAGTATTAGTCCGCCAATACATTAATCGGTTCTAGGGCTTAAATTCCTTACTATTTTAGTAAATATCAATAAGTTTATACTATTCAATAATTTTAAAAGTTTGATATTAATTTTTTTAGTCATTTTTACAATTATTGAACATAATTGAAGGTAAAGTGACTAGTTTAATGCGCTGCATCCAGCCTCTTAACACAGCAAACAGGCGTCAGTCTCTCTCTGTTTTCACTGGAGGTAACATCTTGCTTGAGACTCTTCAACTAAACGCTTTTTTCTGTGTTTCCAAGCAAATTATTGGTCATTTTGAAATTTATTTTACATATTGACAATATATAGTGCAGTGCAGTGTTATTTTAAAGAAAATATTCTTTATTTACAAGTTTAACTTTAAAAAACACGATGCTATCCCTCAGCCTTCCACTTCAAGAAGGAGAGAGGATGTTCATGGTGGAGAATCTGTCAGTCCAGAGGTTCCTGACATTTTCATGGAAGGTGACTCACCTTCCAAGAAGCAGTAAAATGCTTCTCTTCCACCTCCACTTCCTTCTCTTCTCCTCCTCCACCTCCCACTTCAAATTCACATCATCATCATCCAGGAGCCTTCTACATACACACCTCAAAGTAAGTGTACTTTTCTACCTTTTTTTGTTGAATTTAGGCAATTTTCGGTGAGCTGGAACCAATTACCCAAAAACCCATTGAAACAATGGTTTCGGTTAACGAGCAACCTGCTGGAACGGATTGTGCTCTTTAACCAAGGGACCACTGTATCTATTTGTGGAATTATTATTCAGATAATTATTTACATGCATTACTTGCTCTACCAAACACAAAGACAGCCAGACAGACTGTGTGTGTGTTGCCGAACACTTTTTATGAAAAATAATGCAAATAAAATATTCTAAATGAATTATTTATAGGAAATAAGTATTATGATCAGTAAATATATGCATTACTGGCCATCCCGGACACAAAGGCAAGCAGAAAATGGCCGTAAGTGCGTAGTGACCACGAGCGTCAGCGTCAAAACAACACTGTCCCCTTATCTTCCTCACCACTGCTGCCACAGGGAAGTTTATAGAGTCAATATATAGTTTTTATTACTTCTTTTTTAATGTTTTATCATTTAAATAGGTTAACAATTATTTTGGGAAGTTGATTTTTCTTGATTTATCCCAAGTGGGGATACAGCCAGCGACACCCTACCCTGGGGGTAGGGGTTAAAGTGGTCCAGAACTGGGTGATATCTGCACAGCCACAGTTTGCACTATTCACTTTTCATGTGTTCTGTAACAGAGGTTTGTGGTGGTGATACTGTGTGTAGGTCTATCAGCAAATATCTTGGCAACTTTGAAAAGCTGAAATGGAGGAATGAACTTGAAGACCCATTTTATAATTTAAGTCAGGACAGAATAACTATGTTCAGTCAACAAATCTAAAGGTCATAACCCCAGGCCCCATAACTGGGATCTAATGCAGGACTGAAGAAAATTAATTATTAGATTATCCTTCACCTTCATACTAGAGTGAAATGGATATAACTTGGTAAGATAATACCGAAAAAAAAAATTCCTTAAAACTGACTCTATTATACAA